CAAATGATCATTCTGCCAATATTTCATTAGTGCTTCAGTTTTAAATTAATCTGTTTGTTTACTCAAAGTCAGTTTTGGTCCCTGTAAAAAGCAACAGCTGGATGTGCTGCATGCACGACAGACCGACGTGTCTGCTGCACTTTCATTGGAGAATGGACAAAATCCTGCGATGTGTGTGGAGCAGAGAGGGAACTGTGACCTTCCCTAAATAATCTTTCAAGTTGACACGTTTTTCCATCATTTTGTTTTTTCCACTGTTTGATGTTTTCCTGAAACTCTTGTTTAGCTTCTGCTAGTGTCGATTAAACTCATCAGAGTGAATACCTGCTGAGGACAATGTTGGAGCAAGATATGTTGTTAATGAATGTTTTTCATAGAGTGAATAAATACTTACTTGTTGCTGATGTTAGGAGACGGGTCAGAGGTCACATCTGTGCTGCCTCCCACTGTAGATCGCTACTGGTGTGTTAGCTATGATGCTACATGCTACAAATACTTCTTTTTCTTTTTACTTTTCTATGAAGAAACTGCATCAAGTAGAATAAAGGAGAGCAGGTGTGTCTGATATGTTGTTTTTCCCGTGGGCTCCTGCTCGGGGTAGGAGGAGTTAAACGACTGCTCTGTGCTGGCACTGAGCACCAGCGTGACCTGGTTTAGTCAGAAGTTCCTCTTGCTTCTGAAGAAGGTGAGTGTTTACCTGCCAGTGTGATAGTTCCTGGTCTGTCAGTGCAGTCGAGCCAAACTGACTTTAATGTAGAGAAGACAAAAACAAACATGACAGACATCCAGCAGCTCCTGGTCATATAGTAATAAAAGATCAACTGAAGACGAGAGAAAATGTAAACGTCATCCTTGCAGAGGTGAGAAGTAAAGTACAAATACTGTTACTGCACAAAAGCAGTTTGTTTACAGCAGAAGATTATAAATTGTTATTTATTTCCATGTACAAAAAGGCACTGAGCCGTGCACATTCAATCTCAAATGAAAACATGAACAAGTTTCTTTTTTTAACTGTCAATTAAGAATATTAGGTTCAAAATAAGAGCAGTGTCTACATTTTCATGTACAAACTGGAATATTTCCAGTATGAACTGAAAATGAAATGAGGATTTAGCTTTTCCTTTAAGCTCTGAACTAATATTTAGTTGTATAACCCTTATTTCTGATCACTGCTTTACATCTGTGTAGCATGCAGTCCACTGACGCCTGCGAACAGAAACTGCAGGCTGACTGGACTACGC